TGTGGGTGCTTATACAGCTTTCAGGACCAAAGAGATTGTCACCTTTGGAAAAGAGACATCTCACGAGGTGAACTCTGTTAAAGCATTACTAACTTTATTATTAACATACTGTAGTATAACATAGGGTCTTTCTCACACCTGAAGAAGGCTCCACAGCTGAAACGTTAAGTTTTCTTTTTTCTCTTTTCAGCATGGAATAAACCTTACTTGTTCTGTAACAGTATATAATGAATATATTCAAAAAATAAATTAAAATAATTTAGTTATAAAGTGTATTCTGATATAAGAGTAATACAAAGAACTTACTTACTGTCCTTCAGTTTATTTTTATCTATGATAAAACAGGGGTCAGGCTGATCCTTTATTTGGGAAATCCACATGTTCACATGGTACAGTATGTGTATTAAAGAGCTTTCTTTTTAATTATCACTCTCCCGTCTTGTCTGTTTTCTCCTATTGCGTAAACAAAAAACTAACAAGTAAACACCAGTTTCTTAACTGGTACTATTTTTCACACAATCTAGCTGGAACTACTGCAATCCAACAGTAAAGGAAAATCTATCTACCTAAACTGAAACAAAATCACTCAAAACTATTCTTGGAAGTACTCTAATATTCTCTGGGAGTAGAAGACAAGTTTGGAAATTAATTGAATTAATCTAATCGAATCACTGGTCTACCAACACCACTTCAACAGCAACTTGATTTTCCCTAGAGGTCTTCCAACACATTTCTGATCTGGCCCTGCCTTTCGTAACCTCAGAAATCTGATGAGATCGGACTATAGGGTGCTAATGCTGCTGTAAAAATTACCAAGAATCTTCAAAATGGACTTCAAGCTGGAAGCTGTATAAAATGGGCTCCAAACCTTCAAGACCTGACTGTTATTGACTCTTGTGATCTTAGTAATGCTTTATAGTGATGTTGATGTCAGGTCTGCAGACAAACCACATAACAGTTCTTTCATTTTCATATACTGTACAATGTGCTCATCATACTCTACCATAACGTTTCTGATTAGGTGTAGGGTACCTTAGAGCTTCACAACAACATCAAATGAATTTGATATTTAATACTGCCATATGTTGCAATGGACTGGCTTCCAGTATAGGTTGTACCCTGCCATGTGAGAAAAAGTAATCAAAAATTAAGTCTCCCCAGCCAATATATGTTCACATCTACCAGTGAAGGTACTGATTTGCACTTTTCTTTCTTTTGAAAACAGCTAAAAAAGCCACAATTTTCAGTTGTGAAGTTTGTAATTCTGAAGCACAACTCAGTTGTCTCTGGATCCATATACCTCTGGTCATTACATCTTTTATGCTGTGCATATAATGAAATATTTTTACTTCTTTGATAATAATCCTGCATTTGCCAAAGGCAGTTTGCTTTGTTGGCAGATGGGCTAAGACACGTATCCTTTTTCTTTGTCTCAGAATTGTGAAAATACTGTTTTTCCTCCCTGACAACATAAGACACTCCCTACATCAGAACAAACAAGTAGTGCTGATTTGAGATGAAACCTCGCTAAAATAACAGTCTGCTGTGCTTTCTGCCAATTATAAACTACTTACCTCTATCCCTCTTTTTAAAGAATGCAAAGGAATTCAAGTGCCTAATAGCTGAAAAACTGAATTTTTCAATGGGGAAAATCATAAAGACTGCTGAACTACATTTTTTCATATCACACAAGTTAAAAAAAACAACAAAGTATGGGATGCAAATGTGAAATGTTTGTGATGAAACATTAACATTCTTTATCACATTCAGGTAAATACTGTACCAATTAAAAATCTCATGTGACAAGAAATAAGACAAATTTGCACTACAAGAAAAACTACCGCTTACTAAGTCCAGTCTAGAAGTGACATGAATGGGACTAAACATGAAGCAGACACAGTTTTGAACCAATGATCACAGCTGGCTTCCAAAGTTCTCTGTTCAATTCATGCACGCGTTCTCTGTTGGATGCTGACTGATTTGGGCAAAGCAATTGTCCTCCGTTTGCAGAATAATGAGCCAGATTGTACATGTCGTGGACCTACGATCTCTTTCTATAGTGGCTCCACACATGGGCCTTATGGTTTCACTGTCAATCTGTCTGTCAAACAGACAGAGGAAACTTTGTACAAAACATCAATTACCATATTAATTTTATTAATGTCCATTCTTATGAAAAACAGCTAATATGAATAAGACTAGATGACATTTAAAAAAAACTGCAGTTTTCTGTTTACAACCTTGTGACTAAAAACATCAAAGAAACCTACCGGTTGTGAAGTTTGACTCAATCTGAGAGACAACACTTTTTTAAAAGTGATTATAAATGGCATATGAAAATGTAAAAGCTTGTGCTTTATTGCATTATTTTTTATTTTTCTAAAATTGTATTTCAGTAAAGATTAAAACAGTATTGCTGCTATCGGAGGTATGTATGTCAAAAACTCTTAGTCAAAGAACAACAAAGAAATTATAATTCTATGTAAATTAACAAAAACTAATAAAATAAGAGTTAATTGGTCTATGATTTAATTGTTTGACTGTGTGCCATTGTACATTTTAAATTTATGCTAACCTTCTAAGGAAGAATCATTATACTTTTGTAAAAAATATATTAAAATATTTCAGTGTTTTATGACACAGGGTAAACATTAGACCACTGTTTCACATCTTTCTGTCAACTAAACCACATGTACAGTAGAAACATTTTATTTCTGCTCTCAGTTTGCACACGCTGCCTGAAAATTGAGCTTCTCATAAATATAACACGGTTTTCATCAAGAGCTCCAGTCCACTCAAAATAATCATGTTTGACAGATTGTTTGCTTTTGATGATCACTTTATATATTGTTTACTCGAAAACGTAATGGAAAGGTTAACTGCATTGATGAGACCCCCGTGTATTCCACTGTTAGAAACGAAGAGAACAGACTACAACGACAGTTAGCTGTACACCACTGAATAACGAACAAAGGAGATTCTTGGACATCTCCTAAAACCCCTGATCAGTGCTATAATGGCAAACCCTATTTTTAAACTCATTTTAATGGCTCTATTTTTTTATTCACAGCACTGTTTCTAATTGAACTTTGAGAATAACATTAAGGATCATATTACATTCTAGAAATCTGAAGTTATCTAAAACACCCAATTCATTCCTTATCAGCACTGTAATTCTGAAAGTCGGCACCTGTGGCTTGCCCTGCGTTAGTATGGATTAAATTACAATGAACAAATCCATTGATGGATTTAAACAAAGTCCAATATAATTGACAGATTATCTTTATATAAATATATACATAATTAGAAACAATGGCACTATATTAGACTGCAATCACTTTTATTAAGCATTTTCTGATTTTTTCTGGTTGTTTTAAATGCACACACGTTTAAATCCACACATGTGCAATGATTAGCAAAAATTCAACACTCTGAAACCAGACAGTGCATTGCACAGTATGGTACACCATTGACTTTTGTCTTAGCTAATTTCACAGACATTTTATTTATCCAAAACATCTTACACATTTAGCGCTTTAAGCAGCTGATGACACATGTCTCAACACTTTCCAAAAGTTGTTCTTCCACCCTGCACAAACATATGTCTTTCAGACTGGTACCTTGCTTCTCTTGTACTGAATATTAAGGACGAGGGTGAGGGATTTAATCCTGTGAGTGTTTCATAAGAAATCCCAAGGATGTGGCTATTTAAAAGTGGGTTAAACTGTGTTACTCTTGTGCTAGCTGGTTTATCTATTGCCAAGTTTAGCTTCTGGAGCAATCAACCTTTCTATTTTTGGTTTGTTGCTAAATTTTTATGCACCGTGTTGAATTTCCCTAGATGAAAAGGGCGATACTGTGAACTGAGTAGTACAGTATTTAGCCAAGTGTTTGTTTATTGACTCTACACTGTATCTACTTTGGTAGTAAATGTTTGTATTGAGATTCAAAACACTGCTTTTTCCTTTGTTTAATTCAACAAAGAAAAAAATAAGAAATTAAAGTTATTCCTTTTTTTTTTCAAAACAAGGCTACTTATGAAAAATGATCAACTGTCACTGCTTAACTGCATTGTTCTCAATATCCCCTCACCAGCAAATAAATCCTTACAGTTTCAGCAGTAGCCCACAGCACTCAGGAGTTTGGAGTTTTTGATCTCTAAATCAAAGTTATGATTATTTTAAAAATCACAATAGGAAATTACATAGGAAACACGCACTTCTGCACATTTCCTATGACCAAGTCATTTCCTATTGCAATACTACATACTGTAATACAGTATATTACTGTACAATATTTCTTTCACTTAAACTTTAGAATGGACTACATTTGCTACAACAAATACTATTATGAAATAATGCCAAAAGTTGTGTTGTTTTTAATTCGCCCTAATTCAGTCAGAAATTAAGCTCTCTGCACTTAAACTATTAAGAAAATCTGTATACTTTATAAATTGGTCTTCATAATTCACACCAGACTGCGCTTTCATCTTGAAACTATGATATTATGTGACCTGCTCGCTGTTAACCTGCAACATATCAATCATTGCCGCATTCTCTTATTTCAGTGGAATTATGACATATTTACGTTAAAACAACAGATACTAAAATACATTCAATTGCAACATGGATTGTGATCTTCTGCAATTACATGACATTTGAGCTACTTGTTCTTGTTCCCTTAAAAGAAACTAAGAAAACGTATGATTAAATAAATAATAATTATTATAAGTCTTATCAATGCCCGTCATTTGCAAATTGATAAGAACTATACCTAAAGAACTATAAAATACAAGAAATAAAATATAGAAGGTACAATAATTACGGTCAAATGGATTTTTATAGGCTGATCATCAAGCGATTTTAAATGAGCAATAAAACTTTTTAGGAACTTGAAAAAGACTTGCTGAATTCCGACACACGGCACAGACACAGTTCGCTCAAGGCAGAAAGGGAGACGATTTTCGGAGAGCGCCATGTGCATTACTCAGTCAAACTTACAGGTACGAAGTGAAGACGCTAAGGTTAGCCGGTAGAGCCGTGAGCCCGAGGTCCGAGCAGTCGACCCGCAGTAGCATGCCATCCTCCTCGCAGTGACAACGGGACGGGCAGTCGCTGTGTCGAGCCCCGGTCTGCGCTGTCCCTCCACAATCTGCCACCAACAGCAGCAGCTTTACAATGACCAGAACTGTGCAAGGATGCAACATCTCTGCAGTTTTCGAGAACTGTCAAGTATCCTCTCCACCAACCTGACTAAGCTAGCGCGTCTCTTTAAATGTCCTCGGTACAACCGTGCAAATCTTAGTATTTGGAAGCAGTCATTCCTGCGGAAAACCTGGGCTGCTAGGGCAGTGTCTCTTGTGACTATGTGTGTAAAATTCCAAGTCTCACAGCTTTAAACAGTCTTGCCTGAACACCGCTCTTGGTGACGTCACTCACTGCCATTCAAAACCCATCCAAGTTGTGTGTTAGGGGAGAAAGAGCGCGCTGATCAGTTGCAAGTTTGAGTCAGTGCAATGTGCTGGAGAGAACCTAAGGGTTACAGCTGTTCTGATTTACCTCCCTTCCCAATGCTGTCTCTGTACGGAAAATATTAACTTAGCGTCAACCCGTCTTTTGCATATTGGAACTACAAATATTTCAGAACTGTCAGCTCTTCTGTTGTGTAGCTCTGCCTTAAACTAGTACATCGCCGTTTTCTTCGCTCTCATTTTACTGAATTGTACTTCATTTTAAACTTCATTATGGGTTTTTCTTGAATAGTGATAACCCAAAAGCTAAGGCTGGTTTTGATTTATGAAAATATATTAATCACCCACTACGTACCGAAAGGTTTTTATCGTCTTAAGAACACAGCAGGAAGATTCAATCCTTTAAAACGGTTTACGAGAACCAGAGAGCAATGCTTTCCCCGGTAAGACTCAAACTGTGTTAAGGTTTTGAAACACGTGTCAAAACATTTGAAATAATAACGCATCGTTTATTCTTATAAGAGATTCATTCGTCCTTTCAATGTATACACGTACTGCATAGTATACTGTACATGCACAGTTTGGTAGACGTGTCTAACATACAAACATATACAATATCTTGTATGGTGTTCTGTTTTCTTAATAGGAGTCAAATATTACATAAATGCATTATTCTAAACATTTTGGCATGTGATAGGATATGGTCGAAATTATTCCTAGCACTAATACACTAGAGAAATTTGATCACCGTAGTTTTGGACGACTGTCAACTGTTTTTGAAATCCAGGTTTTTATAGGCTTCGTGTTTGTCTGATTAGGCTCTCAGGAAGTATTCATAGTCAATGAAACTGCATTTGGAAGGACATCAATGCAGTAGTATCACCCACACTCTCCCTTCTCTTTCCCTTATGTCTTTTGTCACAGTATTGATGTGCCTTTCCAAGTGTTTGTAGGAAATGCTATGCATAATACAGTATGTATATTGTACATTGAACAGTAGCATACAGTATATCATTATACTACACAAGTGACACAACTGTATTGATTGTAAAATCAAATCACTTTAAGGTGAGATTTTTATCTCACCTTTATGAGAGTTTATGAGGAAATCATTTGTTGCACTCTACATGAAGCAGCAAAATCCATAAAAAAGACTGCTGTCACAGATTAAGAAAAGCTTAACCTTTCAGTGGATACAGACGTTCTTTTGTCTTGTGCTTTTCATCATTTAACTAGAGTAATTTAAGCAGAACTCCAGGTGACAGTAATGGGCAACTCCCAGCCTTAGTGTGAAAAACTAGAGCTGGACAGTATATAATTATAGAAGCTAAAGCAACAGGTGTTGGTCTCCGTTTTGATCTGATGGCTCGTTTTTCTTTTCAAATTATCAACTGTGTATCTCTGATTAGTAGGGCATTTCTATTTTTTCTTTACAGATCTTTCTGTGTGCATGTTAAGTACACTTGTAAACTGCTTGTAGCACAAAGGTGATGCATTATAATTGGAGAGTTTTTGTGGAAAAATAGATGACTTTTCAAAGGGTTGTACGTATATTATATTTCTGTTTATTTGTAACTGAACACCTGCCTCTCCTTGTTTCTAAATCTTTAATGGTTCTAAAATGGTTCTAAATTGCAATTGTGATATTTAAGGGTAATAAAGTAGAAGGGACTCTCATTACTTTGAGGATGTGTGATTATGGCGTAGTGTTTTTCACAATGATCGACACGGTGGTGTGTTGGTGCCTCCCTGCTTGTTGCTCTTGAGTTTTAATGCGGGGCTGGGGCTCCTTATGTGTAGTGTTTGTTATTCTGTTGTTCTGGTGGAGTTTTGCCAGAACAGGTGCTCTGTTTGATCAGCTGCTGTGCTCTCTGCGACTGCCTTGCAACACCTAGCATGGTTACATGGCTGTTGATGACATGGAATCTGGTCAGATGAAATGCTCTCACTTGAGTCAGATTCATGCTAGATGGCTGAAATGCCTGCAGTAAAGTGTGGTGATGTGTAGTAAATGGTAACAATTTCATGCTATGATTCCTCATCATCAATATGGGGGCTGTATCACCCTAACTGACAGAAATAACCTCGATATTTGGTAGGGTTTTGCCATGCCAGCTCCCTATGCATGTGCAACTACTGACCATCTTAAGAGAGACATTCATACAGTATTCATTGATTTGGCCAGCACTGACATTGGTCTAACTTCCTTAAACCAGTCAGGTCACTTTAAATTCACTTTTGAGGTTATCCTTAAGAGCTACTTACAAGAGTGTGGATCTTCCCCACAGAGGGGTTTAAATAAGAAGTAAATAAGATCACTTTATTGGCAATTTACAATTTCTTGTATTAGGAATTTGTGTTTTCACATACCCCAACCCCAACATACACACAGACAGGGAGAGAGGTGTGGGGTCAAAACGCAGGGTCAGCCATTTACTGTATACAGTGCCCCTGGAGCAGTAAGGGGGGGTGGGGGTAAGGGCCTTGCTCAGGGGCCCAATGGAGTAGGATTCCTCTGCTGGCCACGGGATACTATCCAGCAACCTTCTAGCCACAGGTGCAGATCCTTAGCCACAGAGCCACCGCACTGCCCCAGGTGTTTAAGAAGAGGGAATAGATAATGCATCTCTAAATGATGACCAATCCTGACTGGGGAATGGGGAATTCTGCCTGCTACACCAAAGAAAAAAAAAAACTAGATGGAGATGCTCCATACTCCCCAAATACGTGGAATGAGGAGAAGAACATGAAAAAACCAGAAGGATCGCAATAGCATTGATGCTTCAAGTACTGATGGATATACAATGAAAAGTATTAGTATTGGGACAGTAAAGTGAAATTGATCATTTTTGCTGTGTACTAATGAAATGTGTATTTTTGTACCCTGGAAATAAAAGCAGAACAAATGCTATTTTTAACACCACAAACATTGCAAGAACAAAGGATGCCTCTTTGGTTCTCCAGGGCCATTGTAGGAAGGCCGTCACACCCCCCAAAAATGTGCCATAACTCGAGATGGAAAGTAGCACAAACACTACTTTCAATAGCACAAATGTAGCACAAACAAATTAGTCCAGTTTGATTCTCCTGAGCCATGTAATGAGCTGAAGTCATTCCCTGGAAAGAAGAAGCAGCTACTGTATATCTCAGAAATTAACACAACACAAATGTTCACTTCAATGGCACAAACTGGCAAAAACAAATGTGATGGGTTTCATGGTATGTACTGTTTGCAGAGGGAACAACTTCAGGGAACTTGACTAACAACAGTTACGCCTTTCTACTGTTAGTCACGTCAAGTCATCCCATCCAGGGTGTATCCTGCCTTGTGCCTGTTGCTTGCCAGGATAGCCTCTGCCCTGTGACCCTCAATTGGATGAAGCAGTTAGAAAATGGATGGACATCCTGAAGGCATGGTGGAGTACCAGAGAGATCTGTATTATGACCACCATTCTTTCTAATTTATGTCAATGATCTATTTTCTGGTAGTAAGGAAGTTACAGTAGGTGTTCGTAGAACGTAGCAACATAGAAAAAGATTAGCATAAACATAAAAGCAATCAAGGAAATTAAAAGGATTGTACAACATTTAGTCAGAACAGATGAAGTTTAATGTGAAGGGTTTTGCAAACAGTTCATATAAGCAAACTAAATATAACATGGGAGATAAAGAGCTTAAAGAATCTTTCTTATTAAACAAACATACTTATGAGAAAGATTTAGCTGTTATGTTGACATATCATTTCCAGTTGTCCTAGACAATGTGGGAAAGCAAAAAAAAAGTAAATAATGTTGGGACATATCAATAAAAACATAGCTTATGTTTTTATCAATATGGGTTCCAGTTTCCTCCCACAGTCCAAAGACATGCTGGTACAGTAGGTTCATTGCCATCTGGAAAAGCTGCCCCTGGTGTAAGTGTCAGTCTGCCCTGTGATGGACTGGTGTCCCTGTTTAGGATAAAGTGGTGAGAAAATGGATGGATAACTAGTAAGACCTCATTTTGAATATTGTACACAATTTTAGTCATCACCTCACAAAAAGGGTATTTTTACTCTAGAATTAGATCAGAGTAGAGTGACCTGATACATTCCCAAGCACACAGGAATAATCTTACACTGATAGACTAAAAACTTAATCTTTTTAGTCTTCAATGGAGGAGAGTATGAGGGAACCTTATTCAACAGTTTACTATCCTCAAGAGCATTGACAAAGTCAACCCAGGGCTTTTCAGAATCTACAGTAAAATTTAAGCTAAAGAACACAAGCGGAAACTACAGTAATGTGCATTCAAAGCTAAAACCTGGAAGCACGTTATATACAAGGCTATAGGATTATGAATCAAGGTACCTAGACATATTGGTGAATTCACTTACCTGTAATGTGTCAAGAAGTGATTGGAAGATGATCTCACATCCTTTAGTTTCTAATAACCAAATGATCTAAATGGGCTGCGTAGCCTCTACTTTTTCGAATCACATTATGTTAATAACCTAGCCCTACTTAATAACGCAAGCTTACTTACTGTATTTACTTATGAAGTTGTCTGACATATCCTCTTGCTATTTCAGACAATACTGAGGGAGTGTTGCTGAGGGCAGAGCAAATGGTGGAAGTTTGTCGCTGTGCTCTGCTGTTGAAGTGCTCTCTCGCTCTGACTGTTACATCAGTTTCTTTGTTTTATTTCTATTTCACGCTGTGTCAAAAGCCCACAAAGGCACTGCTAGCTCAATCCATCCTGAAAACCCACTGGAAATTCTGGTATCATCACAATGCTTTTTGTAGGGACAGTGTCAATAACCTTCATGTGACTATCCCACTGAAATAATTACATTAAGACAGTGCATTCACTTAGGTTGGAAAGGTAAAGGAGAGCAGATTTTA